CTCCCCCCTCCCCCCACGTGTCTCATGGAGACATCCCAGCCCGCCCACTGGGGGGTCACGGTTAAGAGATTGCTAAATTTGTGGCGCTGACCGCCATAGCTCGAAAACTCGGCCGTTATCTACACAATCAGATACACACTGAGCTGGGGTTCTCGAGACTAATGCGCCCGCTGGCGCCAGCACCCGCTCGGCCGTCGCCAGGGAGCAGCGAACCCAGTAGCAACCTCCGGCCCGTGCCTGCCAAAACCAGAAGCCCGTGTATCAACTGCAGAGAGAGGAGGCGAAAGGTTAGTCTTGTGAGCCTTCCGTCCTCTTGTTGGCCCCATGCTGATGACGTGACTCTTTGAACGCCCAGTGCGATGGAAAACGCCCAACATGCACCGAATGCCTGCGTCGAGATGCTGTCTGCGTGTATGACAGACCCGAGGGTGCAACCCGAGTCGACCAGCTCAAAGCCGAAAACAGTGCTCTTACATCCCAGGTCTCCCGCTTGGAACGCGTCGTCGATGGACTTCGGTTGAGTACAGACCAAGATGCCGCGCTCTTGCTGGCGCGCCTCAAACTAGGAGACACGGTCGATCAGCTGGCCCATGCCGTGACTTCAGCTTCCGCATCCCTTTCGGCCATACCCGACATCGCCACGCGGGCAGTGACTCCTGGAAGTTCTATTCATCACGATGGAGTCGAGATCCAGCATTACCACCCGAATATGTTGTTGTCAACCACCCAGGAGGACTTCCTTGCTCCCACCTTCGACCGCAGCGAGTTTGGACACATTCCCTCAAATGTCTTGGCCGAGGAAATTGACCCGAGAGCTGGAAGCGTTGTTGTATTGCAGACTCCTCCCCAGCCTCATGCAGAGATTGACGGGGCTTCCGAGAAGACGCATACCGCCGGCGTGAAGATCGTGAAAATATGGCCATTTGCCGTCGGACTCCAGGGTGGGATAGCCTGGAACGCGCCTCGGCATATCCGAGACAACCTTCGGATTCATCCCAACATCCTCAGCGACCACGACAGGCTCGCCGCCCCGGGCACCATACCTCGCAGCCTGTTCGTGCCCCGTTGGAGCATGATGGTCGCCCATTCGGATTTCGACGGGACGTTGCGAGGGTTTCTGTTTGGCTTTCTTGCCGAGGCTCAGGCGAGGTTACAAGAGGCGTCGTCGCCAGAGGACGTGTTGGGTACACACGCACATGTGGGGGCCTTGTGCGACCGGGACCATTTCGAAAAGGCCCCGTTGCTGTCGCAATGGGCCGTCAGGGTTGTTCACAGCATCATGAGCGAGAGGCGTCGCTCCATGACGTCCTTTGGATTCATGTACGTACTGTTCTGGGTGACGCAGTGGATGATTATGCCGACCGAGGAACATTTCGAGTCGATACCCATGTGGCTCCGCCCGACGCCCAACCAGTACTTTATGCCACACCCGATGATCCTGGACTTTGTGATCTGGCCCGCTCTCCGGGAATATGTCGTCCAGTTCCCCTCGTTCCATGTCGGCATGGACTGGCTGGTGGTTCTATTCGACACCATCACCTGTGCGTGGCAAGGCACAGTGGAGGAAGCCCTGTGTCAAGACGAGTTAACCGGCGCGACGGATCTTACCTCTGAGGCAAAGGCAAGCTTGTTGTTAACGCCCTCGTGCCATCCGCGAGACCGTTGCTAACCAACCACATGTAGAACGTTGCCAGGCGGCTTGAGAGCTGGTCGCTCGGACCGGCATTCATACCATACATGTTCAATGCCGAGTCTCTTGTGTGCATCAGGCCAGCGTAAAGTGCCGCCTTGTCATCGTCATGGTCATGGGTCGAAGTGAGTCCCTGTTCGATCTTTACGTGATGGCTTGATGTAGACATGAAGATATGAAGACACCTGGGCTTCATAGGCAGGAACGGTCGTTGTTAAACCTTCGACCAGGGCATCTGACTGAGTCATGGCCCGACGCTGGGTGTCCTGCGATCCCGCGGAAAAAGCCAGCTGACCCAATCGGCTCTCTTAACGGCCCCTGTCGCTTCAAACGTGAAGAAATGACGTAACGGTGATGTAGACTGTACTGGGTAGAATAGCTAGATAAGGGACTTATCAATGAAGACTTGTGGTGCTATTTCACATGGGACAGACCGTCTCAGTCAAGCACCTCGAACCATCTGCTCTGCTAATTTCTGTTCACAGCCCGAGTCTTCGGCCCTCCACTGCACCGGCTCTGGCGCCGTAGGAGCCGGGGAAGAGCTCGTTGCCGATGGGGAGAAGGGGGAGCTTCCAGGGAGCGTCGTAGAATTTGCAGTCGTGACACGTGTGGGGGATGGTCTTGGAGGCGGGTTCGTTGGGGAGGTTGTGAACGTTTCGGTATGTCGATGGCTCTGGGAGCTGTCGGAACCAGCGGTCAAGCTTGGAACGGAATCCATCAGGCTCCGCATGCCGGCCGGTGGCCGTCGCACTTGCGTCTCTCTCTCCTGCAACTCTCACAGGCGCCATATCTGAGTGTCTTGCACGTTCTCTTGACGGGTAGAAGGGTGATGGGCGGAGGTGGGGGGCGTGGAAGGGACCTCGGGCGGGCCGTGGAAAAAGCGGCTGCAAAGACGCATGGTGAAACCCAGAGGCCATAGTCCTATCCCAAGCAGCTGTCTATCTTTGTCTGGGGACGTCTGCCCGCAGCAGCTGGTTGGTGGACCGCACGATTCCAAAGCATTGCACCTAACGCACTGTCTCATGTACAGCTTTAAACCCGCCGATGCTTGAATCCACATGTTTCTGGGGTGGCAGGTGTTTGGTTCTATGATGACCATCTCTTATTCGTATGGGTAGCCACTGTCTTCGACATATTCAGTTGCGCATAAATAGAGTTGGGCCACAAAGGCTAGACTGTGCGGACGGCGCGTGCATGGGCCATGACGTCACTGGCCGATGGTTGTAATGACCGAACCATACAACACACACAACTATTACTTTGTAACTACAGGATTATATAGGCTATTATGATTATTCCGCTCCATCACCTCGGATTCTCAACGCCGAACCAAATCACCCGCTGCCGCTTCGCATCCTCTCTCATCTCGTCGGTGAAGAGCAACGTCTTCCGGTACTCGACGTCTTCCAAGAGCTTTCTCTTCAGCTTTTGAAAATCCTCAATCGGGCCGCACGTCTCGTGGCTGCGAGCGTGGCATGGGACTTGTTGCTGTAGATCCGCGACTCGAGAAGGCTGAGAAGGTAGTTAAATGTATGCTTCGGCATCTCACCGGCGTTTCCCCACAGGCGACGTCTGAGATATCCCATGATCCTGAATTCCCGCTGCTGGAGTATGCCGAGTATGAGGGTATCCCATAACCCGGAGCGTTTTATCCTTTTCGAAATCTCATCGCGGTGGAAGTCGAGAACTGTTTGAAGTGCGGAATCACAGGCTTTGCTCACAAGGTCTGTGGGTGTTTGTAAAGAGTACGGTCAGTATCCTTCCTGGAACATCAGAAGCAGGAGACCCTGTGAGGCTCTACTTACCTCCCACGCAGAATTCATCTTCATCCCGCTCCCAAAGCGGTTCAACGTCGTCCACGCCGTAGTAGGTGTCGCTATGAAGGACATGATCCCATTCCTTCCTGTGCTTGGAGGAGTACATCAAATCGCCATGATCGTTAAGCGAGGAATGCATTGCCAATGCATGTAGCTCTGAGGCAAGGACGGGCTCATCTTCGACAAGCCATGCTGTATGGATCATTCAGCGCTTGTCGTATGGATATCGCACCCGCTTCTTTGAGATACATGTCATCCATTTGTTCAGAAATGGCTGGACTGTGACAACGGCTGGATATCAGGGCTTGGAACAGCAATTCAATTCAGTTAATAATCTTTAATGGCCTGAAAACCTTTAGTAAAGAAAAAGAAACCTAACAATATAAATAGATCTAAAAGACGTATATTTACTTATTACTTAGTAGTCTATACCCTATAGCTTTAAATTACTACTAAAACCTTTAGTATATTAAAAGAATCGATATTCTTTTAATAAATATAGAATATTTAATTATTTATTTTATTTTTAATTATATACTTTTAACGTTTAAATAAATAATAATTAAACTATAATTGTCACAGTTAACCCAACAGCAGGCCGCGCCACATGTGGGGCGCAGGACGTCTCTAGCCAATCATTAGAGGAGTCAGGAGACAGCCAATCAAGGCTGGACGAAAGTGCTATGGCGCCAAGACACACGAGCACTCTGCAGGATGCAAGATGCTACGAGTGATCAGAGGCATAGCACGACGAGCACTTTGCAGGATGCAATGTGCTATAGGTAATCGGGGCCGTAGTAGGGCGAGCACCTCAGGGCCCCAGGATCTATATATACGGAGGAACTGGCTAGTGTAGATAGATAGTTCCGCAGTATGTAATTCAGCTTGTATTTACGGTATCTAGTGTTTACATTAAAATATTTTGTTATGCACTGTTTAGCTGCACCGAACTAATTATTAGAAGTTACCTTTAACTAGTATCCCTTTTAAAGGTTCTATATAGGGGTTCGTCATAATAATCTACCCGACTAATAAATTAATATATTATTTTACTTCCGATTTATTATATATAATTTTAAATTAATAATAACTTTATAAGTAAATTTAAAAGTTTTTAAGTTTATTAAAATATTATAACGAACCCCTATATAAAACCTCTGAAAGGGATACTAGTTAAAAGTAACTTCTAATAATTTGTAACGAATCCCTATATAGAACCTCTGAAAGGGATACTAATTAAAGGTAACTTCTGACAATTGGTTCGGTGCAGCTAAACAGTGTACAATAAGATGTCTCAATGTAAATATAAAATACCGTGAATACAATTGTGAATTACATACTGCGGAACTATCTATTTACACTAGCCAGTTCCTCCGTATATATAGATCTTAATCCTCCAGGTACCTCTATACCTGGCTCACCACGGCTCACTTCTGCTAAGAGGTGAGCGCCCCACTATCCTGCAGCCCCGTCGTTATATTCTACTTAATTAGCCACTACGGCCGGCTGCAGTCTCCACTCTGCCTTGCTACATGGTTGGTCTATGACAATAAGAAAGCTTAAATGTTAGGGCTTAAAATAATAATTTAATTTAATTCCAAATCTACCTCAAAAAGAGGGACATACGGTGCGGTTGTGCTTCTGCTTTCACCCTCAGACCTTCCACAAAGAGGGATCTTTTCGAACAGGCTATGAAGGATAGCCAAGTCTGCCCCCATGGCATGGTTATCATTTTCAGGTAGATCCACAATCCATTTCGCGCAGGGATCGAACGGTTTCGAAGTAAACCAAGGGCCATATAGCATCTTCTGGAAAACCGGTGATGCGCGTCGTAACGTAGCCGAGCAGACCTGAAAGCGCGTCACGCTTTCTGACAGTTCCCCTGTGCCTCCCATCTCTCTGTGAGAGGCAGGGCCGATGTGAAGAAAAAGGTCGCCATCAGGGTCTATAACGTGCATAATAAGCGAGCGACGCAGACAAGCGAGCGACGCACTCTCCACCACCTTACTATAACTATCCTCAATTGCTAGACCACAACATTAAGAACCAACTACAATTACGTCAGAAACAGCTAAATCAGACCCTTCTGCAGCCTCCTGGCAAGTGCGGGCATTATGGCCAGGCTTGCCGCACACACTACAGCACTAAACCCTTCGTACGAGCCCCCCTAGCACTACCGCCATCCGGCTATATTCTTCCACTGCCTCCTCACCCACGGCCTTCTGGTCCAGTAGATCCTATACATCTTGCACAGTAAGTAATCCTCCGAGCCGTATACGTATTTTTTTAGCTCTCCGGTATTTATTTAATACTTTATTAGCCTTACGGAACGAAGCGTTCTCTAACTAAAGGAGGGCTACCTGGTATATTATAGTTATCGTACCCTTAGTAAGCTAGTTTATAGTAACTAATATCGAAGTCGGGAAACTATTTTAATAATTAATAATATAAATTTTAATAAACGTTAATTATAAATTAGTTTCTCGAAAGTTTTATAATATTTAAAATATTTAAGGTAGTACCGTGCCCGGCTTTAAGGATAGGGGTATAGGCGTACGAAGCTTTATATTTAATTTAAAAAGTACCTTCTTTAAATTGTATAGTATAAAGCTAGTACCTATAAAGCTACTTTATATATTTTTTTTTATTATAAAAGTAAAAAAAGTTTCGTGGAAAGTATAAAGAAACTCGAGTTTATTTATATAATTAATATATATATATATTAAGCTTTTAATCTAGCGGTTATATATTTATTTTAGTAACCTAAAATAATTAATATTAAATAATTAAAGGAAGTGGGAGGAGTATAGAGATATATAAAGCGTAATAATATTATTTTATTAATAATAATATTTAAATTTAATTAAATAGTAATTTTTATAACTATCGAAAATTAATAACCGGTATTTACTTTTCGTACGGGATATTATATAATAATTAAAATATTTAATTTAATTTAAATTTACCGGATTAATAATTTAATTATTATCGGTAATTATAATATATTAAATAAATAATAAATTATATTCGGTATATTAATTAATAAAGTAATATTATATAATTAAAATAATAAAGGGCGGGATAGTTTAACCGAAAATATTAATTCTTTAAATTACTATTACTTATTCGCGGTTATTAAACTAAACTAATTTTATTTTATTAAAGCTATTTAAAGTTATAATTATTATACTTACGAAATAATATTTATTATAAACCTAATCTCGTCGAAATTATAAATATTATTATTTATAATACTATATTTAGCTTTAGTATTCCGTATAAATATAAACTACTTAATAATAACCTTTAAATCCTCGCACTTAGCCCTCTAATAGTTATATTTACGCGTAAAACGCGTACGGAACTGTAGCTAGCGTTTAATAAAGTTATAGGCCCAGCGTTTACTAATAGAAGGCGCGTCGCGTACGCGTAGCAGTTGGTTGGCTATATCTTCCACACCACTTAATCTAGGTGGGACAGCGCGTGCAGATAGCTCAAGGACGTACTGAACTATCGTCTTCTCCTCCAGATCCGTTAAATTACGTGAGTTGGCCGGAATATCGCGTCGTATTGGTCGGCTATTACGCCTATAGCGGAGGGTTGCTTTTGGGACGTTATATAACTTAGCTGCAGTGCGGATACTAAGATCCTCCTTATTTTGAATAGCTTCGAGGGCAAGAAGAAGTCTCGCTTCTTTTGAAGGGCCGTCCATGGTTGTTGGTGGTGAATTGTAGTAGAAGATATTGAAGAGACGCGTTGTGGTGGAGAGTGCGTCGCTCGCTTATCTGCGTCGCTCGCTTATCATACACGTTAATCTCTTCCTGATAACACGTTTTGAGACATTCTGAGATGTTGTCGTTGACGTCCATGTAATAGTCGATGTCAGACATGATGAGGCAAATGTATCTGTGGGGATAAAAATAAAGCGAAAAAGGCCACGGCTGATGATTCGACACTACTTCAAGAGGAGAGTTGAAAATATCTGCTTTGAAGTGTTTGAAGTGTGGAGAAAAAATCCATTTGAGCGGTCCACACGTGTGTTGGTAGATCTGCGCCAAAACAATGATTCCGACCATCATGGGATCTGCATTCATAATCATCCTGCTCCATGCGCCGACACCTACACATCCATTCTTCATCTCTTGTGTTTCAGATCACAACAACGATGACTGATCCAAGTGCTCCGTAACACAAATTGCTTTGAACAAACCATCGGGACTCTTCGGCCCCACCACCATGACAGGGAATGCCTGAGCACGCCAAGGATCACAAATTTAGAGCCTTACTCAGCAACACGATGCTCGGGGTATTTTCGACTCATACTCTGACCTAACCGGGCGAGTCCTTCGGTGAGCGGCGCACATCATGGGGTTGAGTTTGGCTAATAAGATCCCTCGTCAGTAGGATCTGACTGGAACTAAGCACTCCCGAGGTCTCACCTCAGCACCATGCTTTCGCTTGGATGCTTCCAGTTCACCCCGTGAGACATCACTTTCACCTTGTCTGGTACTGTCAGCCACAGCTAAAAGCCAGAAGAACAGGTATATAGGTACGGCAGGGGAGCACGCCTTGCGATATCCTGTATCAGGTAGAGAGCTCACTCATGCCACTACCCACCCACTCTCTCCATCACTTGATCTGACAACATGTCAGCCTCTGTCTACAACCATGCTCACCCGTTGCTGGGCATCGCGGTGCCTGATCCACTCGGACCGGGCGTCACCTGGCGTAATACACTGGTTATTTCTGAGCTCCTCTCTCGCCTAGGCCACCATGAAGAGTTGTTTCCGATCCTGTTTCCAGTCGTCGGTTATGTCAAACTGGTGGCCGAGGCGTCTCTCTTATTCCTAAACCCAAGGATTCTACGCAAATTCGAACTCGACGAATTTCATCTCCAGCAGGATATTACTCTGGGACAGAAAGAGGACAAGATTAGCCTTGAACTGGAGCTCCAGTCTACGGGTAGTCATGAGCGAGACGGAGAGAGAACTGACTTCGTCAGCTTTCGAATCCGGAGCAGGAATGCCGACAGCGAAAATGTGGCCAAACAGCTCAATTCACTTGGCTGCGTTTGTTTGAGGAGCTCGATTCATCGTCCAGCATTGCCTGCCACGGGCCTTTCCCATTCAGATACACCAACCAACGCCAGTGCCAACCAGACTTCTAGACCGAAAGTTCTCAAGACTCTTCCAATGTCATACGGTCAGTCCGGCTTCTGGTTTATGACCCAGCTTGTTGAGGACCCGACATTCTTCAATGGCACCGTCACCTTCCTGATCACGACTAAAACCAAGCTCGATGTTGAGGTACTTTCGCGGATAGTCGATGAGATGGCTATGCAACATGAAGGGCTCCGAACTGCCTTCTTCACTGACCCGGAGACTCGCCAGCTTTTTCAGGGGGTTCTGAGCAAATCTCCACTTCGTTTGGAAACCAAAACCATCACATCCCCGGCACAAGTTCGCTCAGAGATCGAGTCCCTCAACAGACACGTGTATGATATCACCCACGGCCAGTTTCTCCGTCTTTTGCTACTTGCTGAGTCTCCAACCCGACATCACCTCATCGTTGGTTACCATCACATCAACATGGATGGAATGAGCATGCTGGCCTTGACTGAACACATAAGGCTGGCCTACAGGGGACAACTCCTGCCGCCACCATTTCAGCAAAACGAGTTCTCTACGCGACAGCGTGAGAGATTGGAGGCAGGACAGCATACAGAGGATATACTGTTCTGGAAAAACGAGTTTGAAGACCTTCCAGAGATCTTGCCGATTCTTCCGATGTCGCCAAATACCACAGTTCGATCATCACGACCAATTATAAGAACGACATACCGCCATGTGCGAGCTGAAACCAGGCTGAAGCCCGCAATCACGACCAAGCTTTTAGAGCTACGCAAACAAGGCCATCTTCAGTCCCCCTTCGTCCTGTACCTCACCATCCTCCAAATCCTCCTCGGTCGACTGGCCCAAACAGATGATGTGTGCATCGGTGTTGCCAGTGCAAACAGGCAGAATGATGCAGAATCTATGGACAGCATCGGTATCTTCCTGAACTTATTCGCACTGAGACTGCGTTCAGATCTCTCCAAACCTTTTGTCGACCTCCTCCAAGAGAACAAGACCAAGGCACTGGCCGGGCTGAAACATTCGGCTGTCCCATTTGACGTCGTGCTTGATGAGGTCGGTGCTGTTCGCCATCCTTCTCACAGCCCGCTGTTCCAAGCCTTCATCAACTACATTCCAGTCGCAGAGGACAGGCCCTTCGGAGCTGATGGCACGATCAAGAACAGCAATTACGAGATTGGAGAGACGATATACGATATTATGTTGGCTGTCATTAATCCGCCGGCAGGTGATCCATGGATCGCGATCATGGTTCAGAAAGAGCTTTACACTCAACAGGAAGCGCAAATCTTGCTCGATTGCTTTCTTAATCTCATGGAAGCATTCACTGATGACATTCATCTTTCGGGCCGAGCGCCACAGATGTTCAGCGACGTTGCTGTTCAAGACGCGACCAAGCTCGGCCAGGGAGTCAGCCTCGACATGGACTTTGATTCGTTGATCAGTCAACTCGATAGTATATCGGCCGAGCGTGCTCAGCAAATTGCGCTCAATGATACCCAAGGGTCCATGGTTTCCTATAAAGACATGATGGCAAGGTCGACCCAGATTGCTCACGCACTTTCCATGTCATCAAACGTGGTACCAGAATCGAGAATCGGAGTCCTTCAAGAGCCAACCATCGATTGGATTTGTTCCATGCTCGGGATCTGGAGATTTGGCGGGAGCTATGTGCCTCTCGAAGCCACACAAGGAGCTGGGCGACTCAAGTCGATTGTTCGTGATGCCGACCTCGCCGCTGTTCTAATTCACCATACCACCCGCACCCTCTGCACAGAGATATTTACAGACGAACCACTGGTTATTCAACCGGTCATCCTGGACATCAACAGCCTTGACAATTTTTCTGGTGCTTTCAATGGATTCTACCACGCAAAACCTTCCGATGAGGCCATCGTCCTGTACACCAGTGGCTCGACTGGCGTGCCCAAAGGCATTTCTCTCCCCCATCGCATGATAACCAACACCATCAACGGTTTCCTCCACGTCTTCCCGATGAAGCCACAGACGGTCCTCCAGCAGATTGCTCTCAGCTTTGATGTGTCTTGGTGGCAGACTTTGCTTGGACTTGCAACAGGCGGCTCAGTGTTTGTCGCAGGCAAAGACGCTCGTCGAGATCCATTGGCGCTAACCGACCTGATAGTATCTCAAGGCATCACTCTAACTCTTGCGGTTCCTTCAGAGGCCGTGTCATGGCTCCAACATGGCGTAGGCTTTGATAAGCTACGCCAGTCATCTTGGGAGCACCACATTTCTGCTGGCGAGGCCATCGGTCCCAATCTAATCAAGTTGTTGAGAGCTTTGCAGAAACCGGACCTTCGTTTCATCAACGCATATGGCCCAGCAGAGACCATTATTCCCCATGCTTTTGAAGTGCCTTATCTGGACCTCGATCTATCACCTGTCATTCCTATTGGGAAGGTGCTGCCCAATTACAGCGTTTACATCATGGATGAGAACAACCACCCGTTACCAGCTGGTGTCCCAGGGCAGATCGTCATTGGAGGAGCAGGTGTTGCTTCTGGGTACATCAAGCAGCCTGAGCTTACTGCTGCTCGGTTTCCAAATGACCCCCTTGCCAACCCTCGGGCTGTAGCTAACGGGTGGACACAAGCGCATTTGAGCGGTGACCGAGGATACATGCGTGAAGATGGTGTGTTTGTTACTCTAGGACGAATGAATGGTGACACCCAGGTCAAGCTGAGAGGTCAGCGGTTTGAGCTGCGAGAGGTTGAAGCAGCTATGGTGTTTGCCGGGAAGGGTGATATTGTGGAGGCTGTCTGTCATGTTCGTCATCGGGGAGACGACAAAGATGCTGCCAGTGCGTTCCTTGTTTCGCATGTGATATTGTCATCCGAAGTGCAAAGGAGATATGGAGGTGCTACCGGGCCAGGTGTTGACAAGAGACTAAAAGAGATTGTCTCTGATCTTACGACACTGCCGCAGTACATGCGTCCCTCGGTGGTAGTAGCATTACCGGCTATGCCCTTGAGTCATCATGGGAAGGTGGATAGAAAATTCCTTTCGAGGGCGCCTCTCACCAGAGAGGGGGGCAGAATACCGGTTCCAAGTACCGCCAGACCGTCAACTGGGGCCAGAATATCGCACAACACACCCCTAATGACGAGCCATAAGACTGCCACTCCAAAGCTAGCCAGTAGAGAACCAGGTGCTGGCTCTTTTCTTCCCGAGATGAAAGCGATTTGGAGAGAGGTGTTGGGTGAACTCGTCGCTGACCAACAACTGGACCCCAACTCAGATTTCTTTCTTGTTGGCGGCAACTCGCTGTTGCTCATCAATGTCAAGAACAAGATTAAAGAGCGAACAGGTCACAATATACCATTACCGAATCTGTTTCAAGACAGCACACTCGGCAAGATGGCTGCTGTGGTGCCCATAAGAACTGCCCATGCTCTTCGAGTTCAGCCGCCGGCAAAGACTGAACAACAAAGCAACACCCAAGACAAGTTGAAGCAGATCTGGGCCTCGGTCCTAGGTGGCCTAGTGGACGGAACGACCATGGGGCCAGACACAGACTTCTTTCTTGTTGGTGGCAACTCGTTGTTGTTGATGAGCATCCAGAGAGAGGTCAACAAAGCTTTTGGCGCCCTCCTTCCACTGCCAAAGCTTTTCGAGGCAAACACCCTGGCCAAGATGTCGACACTTCTAGACGCTAGCCTCGCCGCCGCAAGACCTGTCAACTTTCCAAAGCCTGAAACCATCAACTGGAACGACGAAGTGGCCTTCAAAGAAAGCTTCACGAAAATCACCAGCCTACCTTACCCCCCCCCAGTAACAAACATAACAATCATCCTAACCGGCGCCACCGGTTTTCTCGGCCGTCATCTCCTCAACCGCCTCCTCCCCAACCCCCTCATAACCAAAATCCACTGCCTCGCCGTCCGAAACCCCTCCAAAACCCCCCCTAATATCCTCTCCCACCCCAAAATAACCATCTACCCCGGCGACCTCCGCGATCCAAACCTCAGCCTCCCCCCCTCGACCACCTCCCAAATCTTCACCCCCACCACCCCAACAACCAAGATCATAATCCTCCACAACGGCGCCGAAATCAACCACCTCCGCCCTTACCCCTCCCTACGCGCCCCAAACCTCCTCTCAACCAAAACACTCATCAACCTCACCCTCCAGTTCTCCCTCCAAAACCACCCCCCTCCAACATTCCACTTCATCTCCACCGCCGGCATAGCTCAACTAGGCACCACCGACCTCTACGAACAACCACTTTTGCTATCCCAACCCCCTGACAGAACCGAAAACGGCTACATCCTCTCCAAGTACGCCTCTGAGCAATACCTCGCCAATGCCCACAGGGAGTCCGGTTTGCAAGTGGTGATCCACAGACCTTGTTACATCCTTGGTGAGGACGCTCCAGAGTTGGATGTAATGCATAATATTCTTTCCTACTCTGAGAAACTACACTCGGTGCCCAAAATGCCGGCTGTGGAGCGGTGGTTGCAGTTTGTTGGTGTGGAGGAGGTGACGAGGGATATTGTTGGTAATGTCCTTGATGTTGAGACAAAGGGGGTGAGATACAGGAACCACTGCGGAGACGAGGGGAACTGCGTGAGGTTGGATCGGTTGGGGGATTATTTGACAAGAAAGCATGGGGGAAAAGTGAGGTTTCAAGAGGTAGAGGCGGAGAGGTGGTTGCAAGAGGCGGAACGGGTGGGGTTGCCCAGGGAGGTGGGAGGATATTTGAGGGATTTGATAGGACGGAATAGAGGGGATGGTAGGCTTTGGGTTGTGCCGAAAGTGTTGAAGGGGAAAACAGGGGGAAGGGTGGGGTGGAGGAGGAAGGAGAGGTTGTGACTGAAGTGTTGTTTTGTATTAAGGTGCTGTCTACCATTATGTCTTTCCTTACTATATCTGTTCTTTTCTATGTATACACGCTGTGTATGAGTCTTTGATCAACACCACATCTTCGCTTCACAATCTACCTGCACCTAAGCTGACGACATCCGTTCATGTTTTGACGCCCGCCTCTGCCTCCTCCTAGTCCTTCGAGCCCTTCAAGCCCGCCCATTGCTTCGAGTAGTCCTGTTAGCTCTCCTAGATCTCCTAGCCCTTCCGGTCCTGCGGACCCTCCTCGACCTCCTAAGGTTCCTCGGGCTCCTCCATGTCCTCTTCGCCCTAATTGTCCCAGTACTCTTCCCATCTGCTCCTCCACTTCTCTCACCAGCCCATCAATTCCTCGTCCTTGCCTCGCTCCTCTCGCGGCAACCTGCCACATTCCGGCGTACGCATCCATCAACTCCTGGCCTTGCAATCGCGGACTGCCCCCACCCCGGGTAGTGTTGCGAAGTCTCTCGGTAAAACCAGCCGTGCCATCGCTGTAATCGCTGTCATAGTCCTCATCATAGTCCTTATCCCATTCGCCGTCCATGTTCGCAGAGTTCAGGATGCCCCTGCTGGCGCCGACGCCGTTGTAATGGGACTGAGATGCAGGGTGCGGATCATCGGGGATGACCTTTCTCATCTTTGCCATTGCGTGGAACACATCAATCCCGTTCTTGGCCTGGGCACGCTCCACCTCTCCGTTCTCGCCTCCATAGATGTCAAGGTAGACCTGGGCTGCTTTGTGGAACAGGTCTGTGCCGGGGAGCCGTTGGGAGGTGGTGATGTTTCCGTGGATCGTGCCCTGGTCGCCGATGAGGGAACGGAAGACGTATCCAACCAGGAAGGGCAACTGATATACCTTCTCGATGTACCTGGGGCCAAGCCACTTGAGCATGTCGCCTTCGATGGCCGTCTTGAGCTTACGCAGCAAGGTCCAGCAGATGCGATGGCCAAGGAAGTAATCCGGCTCCTGCGGCGGGATTTCTGCTTCAAGGGCATGAGCCAAGACGTCAATGAGGTGGACTGAGGAGCCAGGCACGCTCTTTTTGCTGGTGGGCTTCTAGTCTCCATACAGGATAGCGTGGACGTCTTCTGCGTTGAGGTTAATCCGGCTAGAGTCGGGACGGAATCTGCCCCTGAAGACCCTGTTGACACGCCCTTGTTGCGGGTGTTGGGGGTGAAGTTGCCAGCGGAGAATCCCATGACGAGACAAGAGCTGCTTGTGGTATTCTTTAATGTTGGATGGGGCCTTGCCAATAAAGAACTTGTCCAAACACAGTTCCATGCCGTCCCACTTCTTGTCTTGGGGAATCAGACCCCTCAGCTTGGAGCGCGTTGTATAGATGGCCGGTGTACAAAACACTGCCAAACGACCGCTCGAGCCGTGTACCAAGGAAGTGTAGCTGGTTTCGCATGTCGGAGACCCAGAGGCCGCAGTACAACGGGTGACGCTTGAGAAAGACTGTTGGCTTGACGTTGACACCGGCGGCGGCGAGCCCGGCATTGATGATGTTGTCGCCCTCCAGCCAAAAAGATAGCAACCCTTTGAAGTCTGTCCGCAGCCTTCTCTCATTCCTTGTCCCATCCGGCAATCTTAAGCTGAGTCGGCGTCTTGCGATGTTCGGTGTGGTCTTTGATGGTTTGACACACAAGGTGGTCAAAGGCTACCATCTCGCACCACGGATGATCAATCTCATCACCAAGAAGCCTGACAACATCGAGATGGAGCGACGCCGCAAGAATCAACCACAGTGGCATGGGGTCGTCCCCCAATCCATCCACAGTCATTAGATACATGCCTCGGCTGAGCTCATCCACGACAGGCGACACCGTGTTGAACGCCTTGTCACGCTGGTTATTGTCCCCCATCTTGCCAAGACGATCAAATTCCGGGACACAGCTCCAGAAACGCAGCGCGGTCCTGTTCGAATCTTCTCTGCTGAGAAAGAGTTTCGTATGCAATAGTCTTGTCGTACCACCCAATTATAGGACATGGTAGCAGTGTCTCCATGCTTGTCAGACATGGCGAGCCAGCCGCCCACCAGGATGCCGGCGTTGATCATGCACGTGTCCAACACCGAGTACAGTACCATGTCGAACGGGTACGAGCCCTGCACGCTGGGCTTCGGCTCGACCTGTCCCATGAGCGCATGGATGGACAGAGCGAGCTTTTCAAGCATGCCGTTCATGTGGCCGTGCTCCTTGAACAGATGGGACACCTCCTCTGTCTCGTCAAGCCCCTTCTTGGAGGTGGACTGCCAGAAGAGAGGCTTAAGGGTATCGCGGACCTTCTCGAGCACGCCGACAAAGAACTTGTGCTTTTCATCGGCCGTCATGTTGAGAGTAGCCCCTGACTTTTCAAGAAGAGGCAAACCCCTTGCGGACATTGATGGCGCGCTCAATGGCCTTGCTGAAGGTGGTGGGCACATCGACTGATGGCTTTGCCTTGTCCTTGTGATGATCAACAATGAACTGAGCGAGGTGGTGGACTTGAGGAGCTCATCCGGACAGCCAAACATCATTCCCGTCTGGGCCAGCCATGACGCAACGATGTCGGTGTCCTGTTTGTACTGCTGATACGTGCTTGTAAGGCTGGAGGGTAACATTTTGGATACCGTGATGGGACAAGGCGAGAATCACAGTGAGGTCAAATGGGATGATGTGGTGGGGTTTTAAGTTCCCGACTGCGCGCGACTCAGCGGGTGGGTGGAGGTGTCAGGGGTTGTGGTGACAGCAATCCCCCTCAGTCTTTCCATTTCCGTGAGTTGCTGCCCAACCCGTGACATTTCTCCGACTCCGAACCCATCCCGAGTCGGGTCCGTCGACTGTTCGCCAACCAATTACAACCTTAAAAACAAACAAGAAAGAGGAAAAAGAACAAAAAGAAAACGGAATATAAATTACATTGAAGTAAGGTATATACACCCAGAGTGTCCCAAAGAGTTAACCAGGCCCAAAAAAAAAGTCAACAAAAGAATATCAGTCCTTCTTGGCAGCCTGCTTAATCACAATGGCGGCGTGGCTGACCGTAGTATCACCAATGCTGGATCTCAAGCTCTTCTCCTCGGTCTGCTCGCCGCTCTTGAAGTAACAGTTTCCCCTCGACTGCTTCCTTGCCGACTCCTTCTTGTCCGTCCATTTTGGCACAAAGTTGACCGCAGAGCACGTTACATTGACCCTGTTCTTGTCAGAAACATCCGAGAAGGCGTAGGGCAAAGCCTGGGACCAGCTTGCACACGCCTCCAGACATGTTTCAAAGTCGGGGGTGTGCATTGCGTAGATGGGGACAGAGGTGGTCTTTTGGTTGCAGTACCGTCTGAACACAACATTGCCGTACACTGCACACTTGTTAGCATCACGAGCCATACCATGGGGGACCAAGGGTGACAAAACATACAGCTGGTGGTGTAATCCTTCCCGGTAAATGACTCTGGTCGGTCATTGCATCCATTGGAGACATCCTCTATCAAGAAAGCAGACGTGGAAGAAGAGCCATCCGACGAGCCAGTTCCCGTAGCACTGGGCGCAGCCACTGTGACTGTCACGGTCTCCTTTTCTGATGCTGCCACTTCGTTGCTGCTGTTGCTGCCGTCGGATGACGACTGAACAGTCTGAAGTTCAGCGGTCATGCTCGCTATTTGTGCGTCCTTGTCGTTTGCTTTCTTGGCCATCAGCCCCGTTGTTGCTGCCAATGCGATCACCGCTACCGCGAGAATGCCGACCAGGACCGACAGGATCGTGACCTTTTGATTTGGACCTGGAGATGCTGTTTCCGAGAACTCGGGAGCCGAAGGCTGCACAACGGCCACCGCTCTGGCTGTTTCACTGTACGGCTTGAACCCTTGCTCGTACGCTGGTGGAGAGTGGGCCGCCGTCCCTCCTCCGCCTCCTACTCTGGTGTGATTCTGTGTCACAACCTCGGGAGCGCTTGTTGAGTTGTCAGCTACCTCAGGAAGGACTGAGTACTCGGTCGCTGGTTGGCCATATTGGTGTTGATAGTTGGCCATTTTCCTTCACTTGCCGTTACCCAAGAGCTTTCCGCCGCGTGGTTGTCGTCGTTCCTATGGGTCGTTGGTGGTAAACGGTGAAAGAGAAGAGTCAGGACTAGCTCAGGGGATATTTTTGTTTTTAAGAGCTCGTAACCATGCCGCTGACAACGCGGGAGGGTGGTGGTGGGTCAAGCGGGTTATCACATTGTTTCGGAATAGCGTCATTGCTGCGAACATCGCTAAGGCTTACTGTGCTCCTCGCTTCAGTGCTTGGCCTGGGCTATTCGGACGCCATCCCGGGGTGTAGTGCATGATCAACATTTGATCCGCTGAGGGGCGCGCCGTAGGGCTCAGAGAACTGTGGTCGGTGGCTTCATGGCCTGGTGTGAGTAGACCCGCAGTCCATCAAGATAGACTCATGATTCCAAATGTTAGGTCTTTCAAGAATCCGGCAAACATGAACTTCAAGCTCGAAATATTAGCAGTTTAATGAGGTAGCAGTCTCGATTCGATGAAGCAGGGACCGGCCAAAACAGGCAGGGATCGGACTTTGCATTCGCCAAGGCGGCGGTGGACGCAGGATCCGAGAAATTTCAGCCTGTCAGATACCGTTCGAGGTTCAGTCTGCTAGTCCAGTTTCCTTATTTATTTATATGCATCAATAGGGGAGACAGAGAATCTGGTCTCTTCAAGAGCCAAAAAAGTTGCGGCCGTGATATTTGGAGGACTGAATAGCTACCACAGCCTAAAGGGCGATAACCTTCTCCCACCACTGGTGCTGATTGTCACTGTACCCGTGGTAGTAGGCGTCCCCGTAGGCCCAACCCCTTCACCTGTCTCGGTGACTGTCGGGGTGCCACTTGCGTCGCCTGTTGAATCATCATTGTTAGCGAGTACCCGTCATCCACTGGATAGCGATACACTGCAGGAAGGTCTCCGAACCTGTCGTAGCGTCCTCACCACCAGTGATGGCGCTCTCCCCTCCGTCCGTTATCGACGGCAGCGGTACCGGTGGTCCAGACTCACATTGATCTGCCTGGGCAGTCACCACCTGATACAGCGTCTTGCATCCACCCAACTGGTCACACCCCCCTTCGCATGGGTACCCGCTGAAAACCGTCGCTGGGATCTCTGGGCATCCGGAGCATCCTACTGTTACTTCTGCTGTGGTGATGCAAGCCAGAGTCATACATGTTGAGCAGATGTCAGTAACAGATAGGACGGCAGGGCAGCCAGAGACGGTGGGGATAGAAGGAGCCGCGGTGATTTGGGCTTGGGAGGTCGAGAAGCTAACACTGTGATTTTGTTAATTTTCTGGGCCAGGGTCGTTGTAGGGAGATGAGTGACCTACATGGCCGCAAGGACCGTTAGGGTAGTGAAAAGCAGATACATATTCTAGTGGGCAGGCACTCAATACAAAGAGATGCTTTTTGTGAGAAATAACGATGGTGGCGGTATGGAATATGATATGAATGAATGCGGGTTGAGGTCAAGTGGAGGATACGTCATGGTGCGACAAACACTCCATAAAATTTATCTCAAGGAGGCACCTGGTCACTCCCCAATCCCCATTCGCCGGAAAACAGCTGCCCATAGGCCAATCCGATTAGTGGTGTGCAGTGCAACAGTAGCAGTGTAGGGCGGGGTAGAAAGATGCCTGGTTTCACAAAGCAAAAGGTCTCGGCACCTTCCCGTTTTATGTGAACCAACAACCAGATCGACCCCTTGCCCCCGCGGCAAGTTGGGGAGATCTGACATTTCCGAATATGTATGAGAGCAACAGCGAATAAGATGACCTTGATCAATTCGAAAAAGGAAGGAGTTGGTAAGACGAGGCGCACTCTCGTAACCAACAAAGAATACTCCGTAATCCTGGTCCAGCAAACCTCTTTGCTGTGGACTCGTGTTGCCATCAGTTTTCGATCTTGCTTTTACATTGGCCTATTGAAAACAAGCCCGGTCTTCGACATTGATGAGCGCCTCGTTCAACTCTCAAACACCGCCCCCGCCGCCTTCTTGATCGCCTCTGCCGCAGCCAAAAACACCTGCGGCCCGACACTCACCCTCGCCGCCCCCATCTGCCCCAGCTCCCCCGTGGTCAACTGGCCCCCGAGTCGGCAACTCACATTCACCCTCCCCCCTAGCTCGTCAATCACCTTTTGAACATCGGCCTTCTCCATCTCCTTGTTCCTCGGCCAGAAAATAAACACCGTCTCTGCCCCTCCCTCATCAAGATACCTCTTCCCACATCTAATCGACTCGTCCAAGCTCCCACCCATCAAGAATGTATCCGACCTCGCATTCACCACAAAGTCCACCACCCCAAGCTCTCTTGCCGTCCTAATAACAGTCTTGATCCTCTCGATTGCCTCATCCTCCGGTACCATATCCCCAGAGGTGCTTTCATGCCAGGTATCCTCCAGGTTCACACCCACAGCTCCAAGCTCGAGTATCACCTTTTCAATGACAGATCTAAGTTCTGCGTGGTCTCCTGGCCCGGCATAGCCATCTTGGATATCCACTGTCAATGGTAGGTTGAACTCGTGAGCCACGGCAGCGATGGGACGGCAAAGAGAGATGTTGTCTTCCAACGTGAGTGTTTCATCGGCTTTGCCTATGGATAGTGCCAGTGCGTAGGAGGCTGTCGCTAGGGCTCTGCATCCCGGGAGAGAGGCGATGATGCGGGCTGAGGTGGCATCGTAGGCGTTGGCGAGGAGCAGAGGTTTGGTTGGGGTGTGGTGAAGGGATTTGAAAAGCGTTGCTTTGGAAGCGGTGGCGGCTGTTCTGGTGACTGGCATGGTGGAGGGATTCAGAGCTGGGATGGTAGCGGTGGTGTCAGGGCGAGGAGCAGTTGACAGGAGCTCCGATGTGCGGAACGTTGTATCGTTCATTGTTTGCCGAAGCTACCCGGTTACAGCGTGAAGATGTCATCCAAAGGGCGTATTAGAGAACCTGGTGCTACCTGACCCATTCGCTGCCCGTTATTATCACACGTCAACGAACCAATCGGTCACACCACGGCCTAATAGCCACCTACACATCGAGAACCAGTGGCTGGAAGTGAGGCAATTAAGAAGGTAGCATACGGCTATTATAGAAATATTATTAATTAACTAAATATATTAGGTCTTAGTAATAGCTTAAAGCTATTAAAATAAGGACCACCCGGAAATAAATAAATATATATTCTGAAGACCCTCTATATTTTTAATATCTTTACTTCCATTATTTACTTTAAAACTATTAAAAACTATTAATTAAATTAAACTACAATTTTAAACTTTAATATTTAACCCTTATTATATATAGTTTTTCAAATAATTAAAAATTATAGATACTGTCACGGTTCTGGAAGACAGTGGGGCCACGAGAGACCAATCAGGACTGGACCGAGCGATCGAGCGGGGCTCACGGTCCGAGTGGACGGAACGGACCAATAAGATAGGGACCGGGGACCGCGGCGGGGCTTACGGTCCACGGTCTAGTATCGGCCAATCAGGAGTGGACCGAGGACCGTCTGTAAGTTAACGGTCCACGGTCCTAAGGTCTATATATACGGAGGAACTAGCTAGTGTAGATAGATAGTTCCGCAGTATGCAATTCACAGTTATATTCAC